CCTTCCTATTTCTGCCACCCTTTAATACAGTTCCTCATGTTGTGGTGATCCCCAACCATAAAATTATTTCATTGATACGTCATAATTGTAATTTTGCTACTGTGATGAATCATAATTTCTTTGTTTTTTGATGGTCTTAGGCAACCCCTGTGAAAGGGTCATTTGACCCCCAGAGGGGTCTTGACCCACAGGTTGAGAATTGCTGGTTTAGATCATCATGCTGAAGTTTAACAACAAATCCTCTGAGAAGATACAGAGGTATGGAAAGGAGCCTCCCACAGTGTAGGCAGGCTGGGGCTGCTGATGTGGGAACCTGGTTTCCAGGAGAGGTTCTGTCTTTGTTGTGAAGTGTTAGAAACGCTCGGTACCTACACGGTAGGGAAATCTAGACAATAGCCCAGGGATGAGGTTTTGTCACTGTAGGCTGTAATGTTAGAGAACTGGTTTAATCAAGTATAATACTCAACTTGATATGAGAGCATGAGATTTCTTCATTGCCTTGTTTCAGTTCCGGTCAGTGATGTCTGTGGTAATTTGCTGTTTGATTTTGTTACTGGGTTAGGATGTTGTAGGTGAACAGTTGAGAGTTTGAATGATGCTATGCTTCATAAAGTTAATGAGAGTTTTGTTTTAAACTTCCAAAGTTAACCAATATGCTTCCAGAATAATAAGTAAATGATTAAGGGAAGATATAATGTGGCTTGTTCTTTGCAAATTCTTTTTTTTAAATGGCATAGAGATGTGACTTTGAGTGTGTCACATTCCAATGGGCATGAGTACTGCATTTGAATTTAGATGATTTTAAAACTATTTTAATCAAATGACTGGATTAAATAGAATTAAAATTAAATTACAGGACATTTATGCTGTGCTTGAAGAAGAATTAGCACCCAGTCTGTTCAGTGAGAAACAGGAATGGTTTCCACAACCCTAACCTAGAGGAGTCAGGAGGAGGAAGAAAGCTGTGTCCTTTCGTTTAGTGATGCTAGAGGGGACACCTGGGGCAGCCCTCTGGATAAGCACTTTACCATGAGTTACACCCTAGCCAGCAGAAGAAGGATTATAAAGAGGGATCTTAGTTAAGGCTCTCCCTCCCTGCTCCCTGTCTCTTAACTGTTTCATTTGGCTGTAAGGGAGACATGAGAAGATGAAGGTTGAGCCCTGCCTGTATTTTTAGTGGCTTGGTTATTGTACTAAAATTGCCCATTTGCTGTTTCTTCATTTGTAAAAAGGACTTAATAACATTTCATAGGGACTGGAGAGATGGTTCAGTGGTTAAGAGCATATATTGCTGTTGCAGAGGACTTAGACCCTGTTCCATTAACTCCAGCTCCAGGGGACCTGATATTTTCTAGCTTCTTTTGGGCACCAGCACTCATGTGCAGACCCACACCTTCCTCATAAACACTAACACATAACACATATATAAAAAATTTTAAGTATCAAAGACATAATATTTATAGATTATTCTGTAGACCCTTACAAAGATTGAACAAAAATAATTTGTAGGGCACCCAGCCTACCCAGAGTTGGCACACAGTGCTTCTCTTCAGTCCTCCTCTCTAGTTGAATGATGAGGGCTGGAAGTCAGCTTGTTCTGGCACCCCAGCTTGGTAGAGGGGGCTGCTTTATGGATTGCATCAGGATAAAGACTTTGATTCAGGTGAGCCAACTATTTCTTGGTCATTATGGAGATGTGGAAATAGACTTCTTAAGTGTCTCTGTTGGGTTTGAGCTAGGGAAGAAGGGTCGCCTGCCTTGTGACTGATGGAGGAAGTGATCCTAGTTGGTTGTCACTGGCTTTCCACTACCCTTGTCTGATGATGGGTGGCACTGTTGTAACTTAGCAAATAGCAGTTAAGCAAAATTTTATTACATTATTAGAGATATTTGTGTCAGTCACTGAATTTAATGTGATTAGAAATAGATATTTGACTAGCAAACATGGGAATTGTATCAAATCATATTCTCATCTTAGTTCCCCACTAACAAACTAAAGCTCAATAAAAATAAGAACACTACACTTTTTTTTTAATTTTTATGTTTTTTAAGACAGGGTGTGGTGATATTGTGTTCCCCCAAAATATTGTGCACCCTAATAAACTTATCTGGAGTCAGAGAACAGAACAGCCACTAGATACAGAGGCCAGAAAATGGTGGCACTCACACCTTTAATCCTAGCATTCTGAAGGCAGAGATCCATCCAGATCTCTGTGAGTTCAAAGCCACACTGGAAACAGCTAGGCATGGTGACTCACACCTTTAATCCCAGGAAGTGATGGCAGAAAGCAGAAAGGTATATAAGGTGTGAGGACCAGGAACTAGAGCTGGTTAAGCTTTTAGGCTTTTAGCAGCAGTTCATCTGAGATTCATTCTGGATAAGGACTCAGAGGCTTCCAGTCTGAGGAAACAGGATCAACTGAGGAATTGGCAAGGTGAGGTGGCTGTGGCTTGTTCTGTTTCTCTGATCTTCCAGCGTTCACCCCAATACCTGGCTCCAGGTTTGTTTTTATTAATAAGACCTTTTAAGATTCGTGCTACAGGGTTTATGTAGTCCTGGCTGGCCTGAAACGTATCATGTAGACCAGGTTGGCTGACAATTCACAGATATCTGCTTGCTGCCGCATTCCAAATACTGAGTGCTGGGATTAAAGGTGTGTGCCACCAAACTCAGCTTTTTTTTTTTAAGTGTAACAAAGTTGTGGTTTCCTTTAGCATCCAGCAGACCTTGGTACTTCATGCAGATGTAGACCTTCTTTATTTCCTCTACCCCGATCCCGGTGTAAATGACACACTAGTGGAGGAAAGGCAGAAAGTTTAGATAAGCCAAAGAAAAGAATACTGAATAATCCCATTTTCTCACAGAAAACCATTAATGACATTTTCTTATGTTTAGATTTAGATTATTTTCTCTTCATATATTTTTATAAATAGTTCATTCTTGTAATAAGTGACTTTGTTCACTCAGCAATGTATTTGTGTATGTATGGGTACACTATAGAGTGAGACCCTCTCTCAGAAAACAAAACAAAAAAAGCAAACAAAAGCCTCCCTTCCCCCAACAAATAAACCCTTCTCAAATCCTCTCTGTTGTATTTATCTTTTTCTATTGAACTTTTTTCTTTATGAACATCATTGTGCCTTAGAAGATGCCTTATTTCCATTGAGATACAATGAGGTATGTGTAAATAAAGAACTCACTCAACTAGAACACTTTTTTTTTTTTAATAAAGGTTTATATTGACTCAAGATCCAGGAAGTTCCAGCAGAGCCTGAGTTGTTATTAAAGCAGATGGATAGTCAAGCTGCCACCTTCACCATCTATTTGGTGGGTTTTCCTGGTGCTGCTGCTGTCTCTGCAGTTGTATTGATACCTGGTGATACTGCCAGTGTGTTGGTGGTGATCCAGTAGGACCCCAATGTCTACTGATATACATAAAAAACAAAGAACAAAAGAAAAAAAGACTATCTCTGAGCCTGGGGGCAAAAGGACTAAGAATACCTGTGTGAGTTAGTGGACTAACCAGCGGATTGGCAATGTTTCATGGATCACTGACTTCACTTTCCATATTTGATTGTGCCGACAAGTGGGACAATCATAGCTCTTAAACATTGGAAAGCAGCTTTTGTTGTTTTGTATATTGTGTTTAACAATTTTTTGACTGCCTCTTCATAACATACCATTTGAGAGGTGCTCTGTTTTGAAGAGGAAAGAGTGTGTGTGTGTGTGTGTGTGTGTGTGTGTGTGTGTGTGTGTGTGTGTCTACCCTTAGAAGAGCTGAAGGAGGCTGGGGTGCTGGTGGGAAGAGAAGAGCCTGTTATCTTACCTAGGGTGATCAGGTAGTCAGGGAAACAGCCACAAATGGAGGTCAAACAGGCCTGGGCTTAAGACTGTCTTTCCTCCAGTCAAGTGCTTTAGAAAGGAAGGCTGTTCCACCTTCAAGCCCTGATTTCCACATGTGGAAGAGGAAAATCGTAAATGAGGTCTGACACAGAGTGGGAGGCTTATGTAGTGTCCGTGTCTTGGAAGGTGAGAGTCAGACTTAGAGCCCAGGCTCAGGGGCTTTGATCAGGAAGTCAGCACCGCAGCCATCAGCTGAGAACAGGAGCTTTGATCTGAGGGAAGGTCACCCAACTAAAGGTGATTAATGTGGTGGGAGAGGAAAAAAAGGAATGAGTGGAAGGAGTCAAGGTGTGTGTGGGAAAGAGAGGCACACCCAGAATCCTTTCTTTCTTCCGAAAAAGAATGACTAGTCATAGTTCTGGTTCAGTGTCTACTCAGGTGTTTTGCAGAATAAACATGTATATGAACTCATATAAACTCCAAACTCCTTGCAGAGTCGATAAAGGCATGACTGGCTAAATGTTTATTGGCAGCATCGCATGGGAGGAGCAAGCATGGATGACCAGGGAAGCTTCCTAAGAGAGTAGATCCTGTGTCCTGGGTTTTCTGCAGCATTCCAGAACTTCACTAACATGTTTGCTGGACCTTACTTCTGACACATGTGCTGGATGGTGTAGGTGTTAAGGGACAGTGAGGTTTACAAAACCATTGTAGTTTGTCACTCACAAGGTGATTCACAACGTGTGCTTATTTGTGAAGTCCCATAAATCATGCTAGAAAGAAGACTTCGGAACTGTGCAGCCAAGCAGTACAGGCCTGGACTGGACTGGCAAAATACTTAGAAGGGCATTTTGCTAAGTCACATTTGAGAGCATGTAGTTGTAACCTGTTTTCATGTACAGGAAACATTTGTAGATCAAGCATATGAACTTCAATTTCTTATATTTGGGGGAGAAAACAAGCCTAAAGAATGAATACGATTTTACAGCTTCTGTTTCCTGCCTGTATTTTTCTGTATTGTTTCTTTATCTTGCTTCTCTGAAATGCTGTATGTAGAGTGCTTGTGTATAGTGAAGACAGCTGTTTGGAAAGTTGAAGATGAAACTATTTTTAGGCATCCCTGTCCTAATACAAGCTACTTCTTCTCCGTCCACAGGTGTACTACCCAAATCTGGGGTGGATGTGCATTGATGCCACTGATCCGGAGAAGGGCAACTGGTTGCGCTATGTGAACTGGGCCTGCTCAGGTGAAGAGCAGAATTTATTTCCACTGGAAATCAACAGAGCCATTTATTATAAAACCTTAAAGGTAACAGTGTTGCTGTTAGTCTGTTCCTGGCTACTCTGTGTGCATTCTCTAACTGCAGTCTAGTTGTGACTGACAAGAACAGCTTTACAGACCTGGAATGGATTGTGTCTGAAGTGGTTCATCCATGCACCCAAGGCTCGGTGTTAACTACATGGTTGCTGAGGCCTTGCATGTGTCAGGGGGCTAGAGCAGGAAGATTGTGTTGAGTAATTACAGACTGCGTCCTTCTTGACACTGTTGATTATCTATGGCAGCTGCTCCCCTCCGCTGGCACAGATGCACTGGAACTGTCTGGCAGGTTTATCCCACTGTGAGTAGCTATCAGTACCCTGGTGGTGCGTGTTAACAGAAAGCACACTCATAGTGTTCAGTGTGCATGAAGCTTTGGATTAGCTTTCCCTTTCCTTCGCTTGTATTCAGGATAGAATTTGGGATATATTTCTTCCTCCTGCCAAATACATCTTGGGGACATTAGTTGCGGAGATTAAGAAGACAGCCATGCTCAGAGCTGTTGATGAGGCACTCACTGTACTCAGGGTCTTACTGCTAGGATGCTTTTCATGGTAGCATGTTGGGGTGGTGAGTAGAATTCTCTCTCCCTCTCTTGCTTTCACAGGTCATGTTTCTGTAGCAGACAGAGCTACATTCCATGCATGGAATGTTCTAGAATGGAATCTTGGGGTTGGAAAGAAAGATGGTGGTTGCTTCTTTTGGAAAAATACCTCTGTCCAAATTGCTGTAACAAACAAATAGCTCTTCATTCATTTGGTTCCATTATATGTCACAGACTGGTGGACAAGTCTATAAAGTTTTTTTTTTTTTTCTTTTTTTCTTTTTTTAAATCTTTACAGAGTTGAAAACTATTGAGCATTTCAGGCAGTGTCCTGAGTTAGGTGTGGTAGCATGTGACTGTTAAATTTTCCTCCATTGTATTTTCCTGGCATTGCCACATAACTGGACTGCATGTGACTTGTTTATAGCTAATCCTAGCTTCCGGGTCCTGCAGGATTTGGAGGTTTCTGGGTTTTTTTTTTTTTTTTTTTTTTTTTTTTTTTCCATTTTCATACTTAGGCTGTCCAAAACTTTGTTTTTCATTTCTTTCTGCTGGATTGTAGTCACAGGCTGTTCTAGTAGCCCTGCTGCTTGGTTCCAAATGCCACTTAGGATTCATTCTGTTTCTCAAATACATCTCAAGCAGGAGACACATCTGGTTCTGTTGGCAGGGTGGAATCTTGGGGAGACAGTGGCTGTGAGACAGGCAGTGTCAAGTAAAGATGGGGCAGCTGTGTGGGGGGACAGGATGGAGGTAACTGTATAGGTCGGGTGTTCCTTAGTTGGACTGTTTAGTTCCAGAGTGTTTTGTATTTTGCAGCTGTGTGGGGGGGACAGGATGGAGGTAACTGTAGAGGTCGAGTGTTCCTTAGTTGGACTGTTTAGTTCCAGAGTGTTTTGTATTTTGCCGCTGTGTGGGGAGACAGGATGGAGGTAACTGTATAGGTCGAGTGTTCCTTAGTTGGACTGTTTGGTTCCAGAGTGTTTCGTATTTTGCAGCTGTGTGGGGAGACAGGATGGAGGTAACTGTATAGGTCGAGTGTTCCTTAGTTGAACTGTTTGGTTCCAGTGTTTTGTATTTTGAACATCTACATACACTTAGTTCTTGGGGATCTACACATCTAAATACAGAATCCACTTATGTCTCAGATACATCTGAGACAAGCAGACAGACAGACAGGGGCACTATTTATTGATCCTGCTTTTGATTGTGGTGGTCAAGTCACCACTCAACAGTTTTAAATTTTGGAGCATTTCGGGTTTCAGATTTTTGTATTGGGAGTAGATGTTTAACCTGTAAAACTAATTCATACAGTTGCTGTAAACAGTAGACGAGCCAATATGTAGTGGATCAGTGTAGAGGATTAATACCTACTCCAAGTGTGAATTAATGAGTACACTGGCAGGGCATAAGTTCTGATCTCTGCATACCTACAGTCCTGACCTCTGGTAGTTGTTCAGGTATACTTGCGGCCTTTTGGGTCCCTCAAGATCGATCACCTGTTTTCTCCAGGATTCAGCATTCTCTGAGGCAGGCTCCCCCCCCCCCCCCCCCCCCCCCCCCCCCCCCCCCCCCCCCCCCCCCCCCCCCCCGCCCCCCAGCTGAGGACCGAACCCAGGGCCTTGTGCTTGCTAGGCAAGTGCTCTGCCACTGAGCTAAATCCCCAACCCCTAGGCAGGCTTTGTAAATGAATTGCATGGGAATTTGTTGTAAGAAATCTTGAAAATGCTAAGGAGTACAGAAAAAAATTAAAAATATTATTTTTCTCTTTTGTAAGAGAGTGTCTGTTAGTATGTATCTCCATAGTATAGTAATATCTCAGTCACTGACAGTGTTGAAAGCCGTTCAGTACGGAACAAACCAGGCTTCCCTTCAATAATTCATGTCTATCAATGTTTAAGTTATTTTTTTATTTGATTTGCAGTACACAGATTCTTGTGTACTGCAGTAAAGAATAACTTGAACAGACATGAGTGCCCTTCCGTATAAGGAGTTTGTACGATTCCCACCCTCTCCATCTGTTGGTGTTGGGGGTCAAACACAGGGCACAGTTTCAGCCCTAGCCCTGTGCAGATGTCTAACTCATGTCATCGTGAAGTACAACTAGTTCTGCTGGTGCCCGCAGAGCAGTGAAAAGGGAAACAGGAGCTAGACCAGGCACTCTTGTTCTTAGAGGCCTGAGTGTCTCATGGTGGCTTCTAGCCTGTGTTCTGATGATGCTCTTAACTGAAGATCATGCATGGTGAGCATCCGTTTGTCATCAGTCTTTCCCCTTTACTTTAAAAATTTGCTTTTATTTTCTATTTTCTAGAATCCTAATCATTTCGAATAGTGTTTAATACCATTTCATAAGTGTATGGCATAAAAGAGAAATGAACTAAAATTTACATGCTCTACAAACAGTTTAATTTTGAAAAGCAAACAAAACAGATTAGCTTATCAGAGTGCCAAAAGGTATTTGTGATGCTGTTTTTTTTTTTTTTTTTTTTTTTTTTTTAGCTCATTAATAGATTGTTAAATTAGGGTTTTTGGTTAAGTTTACCTGATGCAAGAAAGGATATGAGATATTGAGATATGGTTCAAAAATAATAAAGTGGCAGATTTTAGCTACTTTTGGAGGAACAAAGTAAACAGGCTGGTTCTTTTATTTTATACAACTTGAGTATTTAAAATAGTGGGAATTCTGTATAGATAGTGAAGCAAAATCATGCTATCTAAACTAGAAGCTTGTGGAAGTAAGGGACCATTTTATTTTTAAACTGACATCACTGATGGAATTTCCTCTTTAACACAAAAACGGGGCTGAGTGGTACACACACCTTTAATGCCAGTGCTTGGGAGGTAGAGGCAGGTGGATCTCTGAGTTCAAAGCCAGCCTGGTCTACCCAGAGAGTTCCAAGCCAGCCCATGCTACATAGTGAGACCCTGTCTCAAAAAAGCCAAACAAACAACAAACAAAAACCACAGGACCAAACTCTTACATAGCCACAGTACACTGGCGCATCAGGAAGCCAGCATCTGGGCAGTAAGTGTTGTACTAGCCGGTCTGTCCACTCAGCCGAGGTTGTATCTGTTGTTGCAGTCATGTCCTTGTGGGAAAAGAATTCTGGCTCTCATTTCTCTCCTAGGCTTGGTGTATTAGTCAGGGTTCTCTAGAGTCATAGAACTTAGGGAAAGAATCAATCTGTCTGTCTGTCTGTCTATCTATTTCTGAATTTATTGGAATGACTTACAGGCTGCAGTCTAACAATGGCTAGCTGTGAATGGAAAGCCCAAGAATCTAGTAGTTGCTCAGTCCACAAGGCTCGATGTCTCAGCTGATCTTCTGTCTGTGCTGGAGTCCCAAAGTAGGCTCTAATGCAGTGAAGGAATGGATGGGCTGACAAGGGCAAGCAGGCAGAAGGTGTGGCTCAGATTAGAGATGTGTCTTCCCACCTCAAGATCTGGATTAAAGGAGTGTGTCATCCTGCCTCAAGATCCTGATCAAAAGCAAAAGCTTGTGTCTTCTAGCCTCAAGATCCAGATCAAAGGCATGTTATCTTCCTGCCTCAAGATCCAGATTAAAAGTGTGCCCTCCATATCTGGATTGTAGTTCATTCTAGATAGTCAAGTTGACAACCAAGAGTAGCCATCACATTTGGGCAGTACTTTGGTCTTTGATAACATTTTAGTGCTGAGGAGAAGCAATTTAGGCTTCTGATTAGATCTCACTTAGGCCTTCTGGACATCCCAGAAGTGATCTGTTGTCTGTGCATGGTCTCAGGAGACAGGTGCTGTCCATCTGACTCATTATAAAGACAGTTCCTCCCTTTGTGATTGAACTGTTTGTGGGGCGAGAATTTTGACCGGAGGCAAATGTTCTGGTACTTCTCAGACTTTGACCTATTACCCTTATGTCCACTGGGGAGTCTTGTCTGGATCAATCTGTGTTGATGATTGTGATATAGATTATTATAATTCCCTCATTCCCACTGGTTCTACTTTAAGTAAGAACATTCCCATTTATTTGTCTTCCTTTGATCATCTATGTCAGCATGTGGGTTTAGATGGGCTTTTACTAGAACTTTCTGAACAGATACATCCCCAAGAGTGAATGAAGCTATAAGCCACCTCCCCAATTCTGTTTAGGACTCACTTTTCTACTCCAAATGTTTCTTCAGGATGTTTCAGGTGTAGTTGTATGGTGGTGTCAGGAGCGACTGAAAAATTTAATGTTTTTAGAGCATAATGCCTGGGAGGTATTCTTAGGCATTTCTGTAACTAGAAATTGTGATGTATACTCTTGATATGTTTTCACAGGCCTGAGCTGGTTGGTGATTGCTTTGAGGAGGCTAGGTCAGGCTCTGCCTGAGCTAAGCCCTTCTGTAATTATAAATAGTGGGTGCGTGCATGGATAAAGGTGCAGAGCGTGCCGGGCGGTAGTGGCGCACGCCTTTAATCCCAGCACTCGGGAGGCAGAGCCAGGCGGATCTCTGTGAGTTCGAAGCCAGCCTGGGCTACCAAGTGAGTTCCAGGAAAGGTGCAAAGCTACACAGAGAAACCCTGTCTCAGAAAAAAAAAAAAAAAAAAAAAAAAGGTGCAGAGCGTTTCTGCTTAACTTGTGCTTGGAATTAGAAACTATGCTGCTAACTCCTTCCCATGCCATTTGCTTCTTAATGGCCCTTTAAATTTCTCATCCACTCGAATTTCATGGGCAAAATGGTTTATTTTCTCTCTTTGGTGGGTGGCATGAGGTTTGGAGCTAGCTGTAAGAATCTGGTGATGGAGGCTGAGCACTAGCCCCAGATCAGGCGGTACACGCACTCCTGCGATCCTCCGTGACAAGCTGCCAGGTCCTCCTGCTTGCCCTGAGTGTCCTGCCTTGGCCCTGCCAGGCAATGAGTTTTCTGCTAGCGGAGGCCGCGGCTCCTCCTCCTGTCCGGGCGCGCGCCCCAGGGCCCGCCTCCTCCCTGCGCGCTCCCTGGCCGCGCCTCCTCTCCGTGCGCGCCCACGGCGGCGGCGGCGCCCTCCCGACAGCTGTTTGCGGTCGGCGAGCCGCTGCTGCCCGTCGCCGTGCTGCGCCGCCCCCGTCAACAACCGCCTCTCTGATAGGTTCACACCTTGTCTCGTCTCTTCTGTAGCCAATCGCGCCTGGCGAGGAGCTCCTGGTCTGGTACAATGGGGAAGACAACCCCGAGATAGCAGCTGCGATTGAGGAAGAGCGAGCCAGCGCCCGGAGCAAGCGGAGCTCTCCGAAGAGCCGCAGAGGTAGGAATCGCCGCCGCCGCTGGGCCCGGGCCGCACCCGCGCGGGCGTACGGATTGAAGGCCGGGCGTCGCCCCTGGCGTCGCCGTGACCTTTTCCGGGCTCGGCCCGCGGTCCCCGCCCGGCCCGCTGCTGAATCACGGCGATCTCGGCGCGCTAGGGCTGTTTGGGAACTTGCGCCGGAGCGCCCGCGCGGCGGGAAGTGCGCGTGCGGCCGCCAAGTGCGGGCCCGGCCCTGCTCCCGGAATCGGGCCGGCCGCGCCGCGAGGGAGGGCCGCCCGCGCCTTCCGGCTCCGCTGACAGCCCAGGACCCGGCAGAGGAGGGAGACGGGAAGGGAGAGCCGGACCTGGGAGAGACAAAGATGGGGTGCACCGGGGGCCGAGGGCGGTGGGCTGCCGCACAGGATATGTTGGGCTTTGTGGAAGTTAAGGAGGCTTGCTGTGCCCTCAATTTTTACAGTTCTGTGATAAACGATGTTTTGAACAGAAGGTAGAATGTAGTCACACTTATAAAAGGGAGAGGATAATTTGTGGGTAGGAAAATAGTTTGGATAGCTATATCATATTTCCAGCTGGCATGCAGATACGTCGCTGGAATATTTTTACGAAAAACTTTAACGCGAATTTGGGAATCTCTTACTGAGCCTAGTTTGAAAACAGGCCAAGACACGATACAGTCGTTTTTATTAAAACAAGAACATTGGTTTTTTTTGGGGGGGGTTTAGTTTTTAGTTTTTTTGCTCTTCTCTTAGATCTTAGTAAATTTTTGTAATCCTCACAAGCCCGTTCTTTTCCCAGAACATTGCAAAGTATGTTGTGGGAGTGAGGCTATAAATAAAAGCATAAACGTGGTTTTGGAAAACTTTCAAGCAATATTTGATGAGCTCATTGTGACTTTTCAATTTCTTATTCTTTGTGTTTCACGGGAAAGTGAAATGGGCTCACCCAAGGATGGCTGGTGGGCTACTTGTTGACTACATTTTTCTGTTTATTGACGGAGATTTACTTGCTGCTTTAGGTCATTAAATACTTTGATTCTGGGTCAGATGACAAGAGTCTAGAAAATTCCAGCCTTCCCCCCAAGTGTTTTAACTGTGTATTGAGATTTCTTTGGGCTAAGGCTTAACATTTTGTTTCCACTCCATTATTTGACTGGTTTCTATACTTATGTACATTTTGTTTGTAAGCAGAATTCATGTTACCAGCCTTCCTAGATAAACTACGACTTGTGGAGTCCAAAAATTAGGCGTCCTGGGGACTTTCTTCCTGTGCCACTAAACTTAATCCTGACATTAATCAGATCTGTAACTTGATGGCATTCTCACTGTGCTTCGTGGTGAACTTTGGTGTGTGTTTAGAACCTGTTTCATTACTTTTTCTTTAGTTACTCCTTACTGTTCTTTGCAGTTAGTTCAATGTGGAGGAAAACCCTGGAATTAATCTTACTGTTTTTATAGTGATACACAGATTTACACATTTCGTGGCTAGCTTGCTGGTTTTTAGAGTGTTTGGTAAACCATATTTCTTACTGCCCCATTATTATTTTGATAAAGAGTCTGGACGGCAGACAGCTCACTGAATCCTTCTTGAGCTTTAATTAAAAGACTTGCATGAAGCTCATGCTTAGAACTTGTAGCCATTCTGCTTTGGGCAGCTTCCTTCAGAAGAGAGTTTAGTGAATCAAACTTTCTTAGCTATGCTGTGAAGTCTGACTTAACAACTTGTAAGGCCTGAAGGCAGAACTTCTTATTGTTAACTCAGGATGACTTTAGGCATTTCAATAATAGCTTCTTTGGCAGTGGTGTCAGAGAGAATCAGAATAAATTGATTCAGAGGCAGTGTTGATTATTTGTTGGGGACATACAACTGACTGGTAGATTGACATTGGGCATAACCTCGTACTGTTGAGACAAAGGACTGGATTCTTCACAGTTCTGGACCCCAGCTCCTTTGCATGACAGCTGTTATGCCCACATCTGTGTGTTGCATGAGGAACCTTTTAGAACTCATCAGATTGTTGGTGGATCGTAAGGACTGTTGAGTGTATTGGGTAATGAAAAGCCCTGGTTCCCATGTCTGTGACAAACTGGCACCCTCTCTCTTCTTTTCCCTCTTTCTGACACTAATGTCTGTTAAGCCTTGCCATATGCTGGACTTCCCGGGTAGTTGTGCTGTTCCTTGGTGAACAGAACGGCAGCAGTCATTCCCCTAGCCTGAAACCTAGACCTGGGGAGAGAGGGTAGGTGCATCAGTAAGGCCGGGATCAGCGCTTGGGTGGCCGGCAGGTAGTGGCCCTCATTAAACACTCAAACAATGTATAAAGAAAGAACAGTACATAATGCTTTGAGAAGACAGTTCATATTGTCCCTGAACAAGGAGCTTGCAATTTTCCCATGGTCACAGATGTGCAGGGACTAGGTATTTTTACTAGAATTTTTAAAGTTCTCAGCTTTGTGTTTCTACTGAATCACATACATGTATGAGCAGCCTCTGTAAGGTTGAATGTCAGAAATGCCTCGGATGGGACAGATTAAATAAAGCTTTCAGGTAGAAAGTGGGAGGGTTAGTGTTGGCTGTCTCCAGCTGTTGTATAATCTATAATGCAGTAGAGAAAAGGCCATGTTTAGAATTTTTACCACTTTCTTGATTCCTGTCCCCTATTCATAACTGAGAATTGAAACTGAGTGTGCTAGCCATAAGTCATGAGTGTTGGTGAATCTTTCTCTGCTTGTTAGTGGCACTGGAGGTGAAACCTAGGGTCTCTAGTGTTAATGAGCAAGCGCTGTGCCACCGCACTAAACCCAGTTCTGGTAATGCTTTTCTGAAACTGACTGCGGTAGCAGTGTGTGTAGAGAGCCCTACCTGAAGGAGTGTGGTGGTACTGTGTTCTCCAAAATAGTGCACCCTAATAAACTTATCTGGGGTCAGAGACAGAACAGCCACTAGATACAAAGGCTAGAAAATGGTGGCACTCACACCTTTAATCCTAGCATTCCAGAGGCAGAAATCCCTCTGGATCTCTGTGAGTTCAAGGCCACATTGGAAACAGCCAGGCATGGTGACACACGCCTTTAATCCCAAGAAGTGAGCCTTTAATCCCAGGGAGTGATGGCAGAAAGGCAAGATATATAAGGTATGAAGACCAGGAACTAGAAGCATTTGGCTGGTTAAGCTTTTAGGCTTTTGAGCAGCACAGTTCAGCTGAGATCCATTTGGATGAGGACACAGAGGCTTCCAGTCTGAGGAAACAGGATCAGCTGAGAAGTTGGCGAGGTGAGGAAGCTGTGGTTTGTTCTGCTTCTCTGATCTTCCAGCATTCACCCCAATACCTCCTCCAGGTTTGATTTTATTAGTAAGACCATTTAAGATTCCTGCTACAAAGGAGCAACAGTAGCATTACACAGATGGGCTTGGTGGAAGGGATGGGAAACATGAGAGACACCTAGGTCTACCAGGTGTGGGACCGTGGGCAATCTTGACACTGCTCAGAGGTACACTTTGCCAGCTTTAAATGGGGGCTTGGGAAGCCACTTGAGCTCTAGTAATTTAACTTCTTGTCACTGTGAGGAACAAGGGAGTTAACAAAAGGAGGGGTGTTTTCTGAAGCTTGAAGACACTTGGAAACTACAAGTATCAATCCTAGTATGGGTTTCTTGTTGAGGATGTACTGCATTTGTGACTCCTTCAGCCAGTGGATGTTTATGACCACCAAAGAGAAGCTCTGTATACGCCCTGGCTTCTTCCCCATTATCCTCACTAGGCTCAGCCTCACTCTCCCATTCACCCTTATTAGAGGCCTCTCTAACCCACTGACCTCACTGTTCCAGCAGGTTAGCAGAGAAGAGTTATTTATAGAAGTCCCTTGGATGGGACCTGAAAGCTGGATGGTAAAGAAGACTAAGTCTGTAGCCCATAACCGGCTGCACAGGATATGTTCCTTAAGGTCAGGAGATTCGGTCATTCATTTGATAACATCATCTAGTTATCTATTTGGCTTTCAACTACCACATGACATTTACATTATGGTCAGTATTCAGAAGGAAATGGCTTCATCCTGTCTCCAAATAGAATTGTTCAAATGAAAACTCTTGGTATAATGAAGAACACTCAAGTGTTTTGAAATCAAGCATATTTGACATTCTTTCCCAAAGGTGCTGAACAGCTCCGATTAGGTTAGGTTAGCAAAGCTGAAAAGTTCCACACCAGAGAACTCAGTTCAGGGAGGGGTGTGAATAGATGAGAGAAGGTTCCTGCTCTCAGAGGGACTTTAGAATAATGGACCATCGGCTGTTGATGAGCAAGGCTTAGTAACATCAGTGTCGGTGAGAAGTAGGTGGGGTGTGGCACAACTGTTGTCAGGGTCTTCCTGCACATGTGTCATAAGTGACATGAAGCTCTGGGGACTGAGGACTCTAGGTAGAGGAGCTGCATATGGTCTAGGGAGCTTGGCTTACATAGAGGCCCATTCCAGAATTGAGGAACTCAGCTCGGTACATGGCTGTATTGGCCTCTTTCCTGCCAGGCACCATGTATGGCTTGGTTGCAGAGATTCAGGAGATGGCTAGACACCAGCTCTGTGAAGTTCCTAGTCTCCATGATTGCAACCAAGTGCAAGCTAAACTAGGTGTCTGTACTTGATGTGGGTCAGCAGAGGCTGACCTTTGAGGCTCCCCAATCATCATGGGAAGGATCTTGAGAAAAAGCAAGGCATGAGTTTTCCCTGCGAAGGATATGGGGTCACAGGAAACTGTTAGGCATGTAGGAAATGTACAGAAGGAAGGGTCTGATGATGGTACTCTGCCTCCTGAACAGAGACTTATAGACTTCTGAGCCCCCTACCAGAGTGCCCTCTAACCCAGCATTTGTGGAGTGGTTTGTCCTAGCTTCAGATGAAGAATGGGCACTTCTCAGGCAAGAGTTAGGGACTTGTTTGAGATTACTCTGCTTATGGATATCAACTTGAGCAGGGGCTGGGGGTGAGGTGGGAAGGTGTCTATGCTTTTGTAAAGCAGTAATAAAAGGATTTGAAGTTAGCATTCACAAGTACATGTTATAAAAGCAGAAAACAGGTGGGCTTCCATGGAGTGATCTCTTGGTCCCTTCTAGCAATTGGCAGCTCTGTTTCAGATTCCTTTGCTGGAGCTGAGTGACAGAGGCCTGGTTATGGTGCTGGAGGATGATGGTTGATAGGCCCTAAACCTCTTGGTGCCTTGTAGGCAGTTCTTATGTTCATAGACTTAACTGGGCCCTCACCTGTTTACCAGTGTGGAGCAGGACTTCTGGGGGCCAGAGGCAGGGTTCCTGTGCTCATGGCTTCAGGCTTGTCATGTTGGGTCCAGTGGGCTGTCTTGTGTATGGTTGTATGGTGGGTCTTAACATTTGTGTCTTCTGAAGCCCTGGCTGCCGTCCATCTGAGAGATGCCTGTGCTGAGCATTGCATGTCTTGCCCACCTTTGCTGCTGTGGGCTGTGTTCAAATGCTGAGTATGGTTTCAGTTAAGCTTTTTCACCAAGAGGGAGAAAACTTCTGTTACTTTTTCTAATTCTACTTGGGCCATCACTGAGATACTCCAGATTTAGGCTAAACATTGAAAAATGTTTGTTTCTGTGCCTTTGATTCTACGTTATATGTAACCTTGTGTACAATTGTGTGGTTTAACTAGACTTTTCTAAACTGTTCTTCACAAGTGTATTTTCTCTGTTTATGTGCATGTGTCTATGCACATGCACATACATGCCAGGAGGTGCAGTAGGGGTGGAGGTCAGAACACTTTGTAGAGGAGCCAGTTCTCCACTTCAGTGTGGGTTCTGGGGTGAACTCGGGTTGTCAGGCTTGAGAGCAAGTGCATTTACCTGCTGAGCCGTCCTGCTCTCTAGCCCAGAATCTTACTTAATATATGAAAAACTATTTGAGACATCTGATTGAATGGATTAGGAGCTGTGCCATGTGCTGTGATTTGTCTATAGGTAAATTGTAAGGTTTGATTATAATTGCATTTTCTAGAAGGTAAAATAATAAGGCCCTTATAATGAATTCAAATTAGTTTTTTTTAATCTGATTATAACTTGAATGTTAAAACACAATATGAACACTAGGTTCTGTGCTTAAATAACTGATTTTTAAGTTGGTTTTAAAGCTAGCTGTGCTTCTCTATCCCAGGCAGTTTCTCATTCCAGTTCACAGATGGTGTTTAGATATGGGAACTCAATGTTCCCAAGCATGGCAGAAAGGAGGGTGTGGTTTTATATTTGAAGTTGCCTCTAAGGAAAGCAGGAGCCAGGTGTAGTAGTGTATGCCCTTAATTCTAGCACTTGGGAGGCAGAGACTGGTGATGGATCTCTTGAGTTCGAGGCCAGCCTAATCTAAAGAGAGTTCCAGGACATAGAGAGACCCTGTCTCAATAAACATACAAACAAATAAAGAAAAATAAAGAAAGTGGGAATTGGCTGGGTGGGAAGAGAGCACACTTTGGGGGTTAGCCATCAATAGGCACATCTTTGAGTGAAGACTTCAGAGCGGAAAGCTAGCAATTCAGGTTAACTGGCCTGGTGCTGTGTAATTTGGATTCCCTACGTGTAGCCCATGCTGCCAGAAACAGGTTCAGTTTGGTTTTTATTAACATTAATAGTTTAGGGGAATTTATGGTACAGAAGCAAGAGCCATATGAAAATGTTTGTGCTTTCTCTAAGTGAAAAAGATAATACTGAAAGCAGCCGTTCCTTTTTGTTGTTCTGACCAAACCAGTTTGATGCTTTGCAAACCTTCCCTGCTGAATTAATTAATTAGGTGAGTTTTGATACAGACATATGTCAGGATTTGACACTTATTTCCGTATCATGCCATGTGATGCATCACTTGTACTACTGCCGACAGTGACAACAGTTACGATTGTTTCCTAGCACTGTGCTTGCTTGGTATTGCATATGCACTATTACCAATAGCCCTGCAAAAAGGATCTTTATTCTCACCAAAGAAACTGCTGCTCCTGTGCCCACATTTGTGCTGTTAGTGGCTCTGCCTTGCCTAAGCCCAATTTTCACCCACAGTGTTTCTGAATAGAAAAGGCTCACAGTGAACATCGATGTGCTATTAGCTTTGCCGATTAGCCAAGGTGAATTGGGCTACTTATTCTCTGTATGAAACTAGATGTGAAGACAGTGCTTGACTTAACATCTTTGGTGTAGAAAGCAAAGTTAGAATGAAAGCTGATGGCAGAGTTTATCTCAGCTCTGAGAGGTTATGAGTCAAACTAGATTCATACATTCTTTTTTTTTTGTTTTTTTGTTTTTCGAGACAGGGTTTCTTTGTGTAGCTTTGCGCCTTTCCTGGAACGTGCACTGTAGCCCAGGCTGGCCTTGAACGCACAGAGATCCACCTGGCTCTGCCTCCCGAGTGTTGGGATTAAAGGTGTGCGCCACCACTGCCTGGCTAGATTCATTCTTTTGAGTGTCTTAAATTAAACAGTTTAAAGACTACTTCTAGATTACTTCTATCGGCGTATTTGCCAGGGTGGGATTTTTGAATATTTTGTATTATCTTGATATCAGTCATGAAACCACAAGAGCAGAGTAAGAACCTGCTGTCCTTCTCACTTCCTTGCCTCTTGGATAGAGTTTGCAGAGGGGCCCAGCCTGGGACCCTCATTTTTGTCTTACTGTTACTGATGGATTCAAGGAAGAATTGTGTTTAGTTTCCTCTTCTGCAGCACTCTTGAGGTCTTGCCACTGTTCCACTGATCATGTGTTCTTGAAAGTTTGCTTAGGTTGAAGATTAAGGATCATGAACATGCTTTAATATACAGTGGAAAATTAAATGTAGAAACTCATTTAGTGCAGTTCTGATTTCTGTTGTGGCTGTAGCAGAAGGAAGTGATGCTTGCTAGTTTCCTTCCCTGTCTTAGGGTGAGCTAAGTGTTCTGGTTTTTGTTTGTTTTGTTTGAATGTTTATTTGTGAGGGATAGCCTCTTGTATTTCACTTTGCCTGCTTGGAACAAGTGTGAGCTATTTTGAAGTGGCACCTCCAGAGGTCTGGCTTGCTGATGCAGCCGTGCCTGACTCATTCTGTAGGAAAGGCAGGAAAGGGGACTTAGTAGGAAGAGTTGCTCCAACCTGTCCTGGGCATGACCCCCTCCCCCTTTCCATTCCTTCTTTCTCTTTCTTTTCTCTTTCCTTGCCTTCCCTCTTCTGGACTTCTCATGTAGTCCAGACTGGATTTTAAACTTCTGATCTGCCTCCACCTCCTAAGTGCTGGGATGGGATTATAGGCATGTGCTA